CTGAGCGGAGCAGAAGCCTTTCTGTTTAGGTAGACTATGTTCCCTGTAAACATTTGAAGGCTTTAATTGAACATGACATTTGCCTACAGCCAGAAACAGACTTTCTCATTAGTTTATATCAACTGCTAATTTGGGGTGCATCAAATTGGTAATCTCCAATACCTGCACCTCTCACATACGCCTTCAATATAATTACACACACACTAATATTCTAAGAGTATTTTGAACATTGAATACTAAAAATAAAGTGTATATGTAGGGCATACATGTTTTCTCCCCCTTTTCTACCTCTTAAGGTGGAAGTACCATATTCATATTAGCCCATAAGAGATTAGAGTGACACTAAACTCAATAGTTAAGCTACCTGAATGTATTTTTAAGATTTAACTCCTAACAATAATGTATCTTATTTATGCTATAGACCCTCAAATCATCTCTGAATTGGTGCTGACACTGTCCTTCCTTCAGGAGGGGGGCTACTTTTGTTCCACATGGTCCCTGTGTGTGTTTTTAAAGTAGTGACCACTCTAAGCTCACTCCTGTGATGGACTACAACCTCAATACAAATTAGTAAACTAAACGTGAGATTGTAGTCCGTCGCGGGAGTGGGCTTAGAGCGGTGGCACACGGAGACTATGGGGAACAAAAGTAGCCCCCCTCCTGAAGGAAGGACAGTGTCAGCACCAATTCAAAGATGATTGGAGTGTCTACAGCATAAATAAGGCAAATTTATTTTTAAGATTTAACAAAAATGTAAGTACCATAACTATTAACTCCTGAGTTTAGGGTCACTGTAATTCACTTGATATTCACAATCATATTTTATACAAAAGTAAGCGAGGTATTGTTTCATTCAGTATTTGCATTCCTATTTTATCCCACTCCAGACATATCAGGAATTGCCACGTATGATGTTCAGATTCACTTGTGATGCATAGTATTCACAATCCTGTTTTATTCCAATCTGGGCACTTGGCACTTGGGATATAGACTTGGACAGCCAACCTGCCAAGTCTATATCCCACAGTTAAGGCTTGTGTTTGTTTACCTACAACTGCAACTCTCCTTGTAACTAGTTCACAATGCCAAAGCTTATCAGGTGCAAAGCTGCTCAGTTATCTTTTTTTTGTGGTCTATAGTTGCTCATAAAGTTGGATATTCTTCTTCACAGCAGACTAGATATACTCCTTCTGGTGGCCACCACTTAAAGTATTAAAAGAGGCAAACAGTGTTCTTGGATATAAATGAAACACATTGTGGTCTTGTGCGCATTGTGGTCTTGTGCCCCCAAGAAGGAACTCCTAAGTTATAGAGTTCATCAGGCAGTCTCTGGGACCCCTTCTTAATGTGTATAAGTACACAAAGTACCAGCCCGTGGGCCAATTTTGGCCCGCGAACCGTTACCATGTGGCCTGAACCGCGTAACACACTTTTTAATTGAAGTGGGTTTACCTCTAAGGTGCTTTATACTTTATGCAAGAAAAGAAAAACAAAACATTGCAGTAAATGGTGCAGAAATTAGCTTGTTGGATTGTTTCCCTCAAATGCCAACAAATCCTGTCCTGCCACATGGATGTGCAATTACTCATACTACTACATCAGTTGTTTACCGGACTAGAAGAAATGAGGAATGAATGAGGAAATAAATAAAACAACATGGCCCAGTATTTCATGCAGATAGCAATACATGACACAATCACAGATTAGGACTTATGTAGCACGTTCCAAGAACATTGCAGTATAGGAAGACTTCTAGCTTTAGGCATTCCAAGAACATTACCTACAGCTAGAAGTCTTCCTATACTGCAAAGTGTTATATTTTATTTTGGATTTGATTAGACAGTCAAATTCCTTCACATTTTTTTACATTTTATGTAGACCTTCTAAGTGTGCATGATCTATTCACCCGTAAATAAAATATGATTTTTGACTTGTGTGGGTAATCCTATTCTTGGAGTACAGTACAGGTCACAGGATTGTAAGTCATATCCTTAGATTAGATGCAGCTACACCGGCAAAAGAAAAAAAGGAACAATGAGCAAGAAAGGGCTCAAGAGGGCAGCTTGAACCACTCTGATGCCAATTTTGGCCATAGAGAAGGTCTGAACGTTCAGTGAACAAAACCTGTAAACGGGGATCAGGTGGCAGCATAGCAAATCTGGAAACAGATGCTTGATGCTGAAAAGTCCATAAAGCACTAACATACCTAGTACAGTAAACTTTAATATGGAATGGGGGAAAATGATCCTACCAACTATAGGCATGAATGATGACCTATCTAATACACTTAGCAAAGGTGGAGCAAGAAGCAGGGAGTCCCCTGTGGGATCCCTTAGGAAGACCAAAGAGGGAATTTGGGATATTCTGTTATGTGATCTCACTAACCAGGTAGCCTTCTAATTCCAAACCAAATAGGTTAAAAAGGCAGCTTCTGGAGGACCTGAAGAACCAAGTTGAAATGCCATGGTATCACTAGGAAACAAACATGGAGCACTGGTTAAGGGTGTCACTTACAAAGAGTGAGTGGCAGCAACCTGGTTGAGTGAACCCGTAGTTGAGATGTTTTGGTGGTAGTTACATTGCAGATCACCCTGAGTTCCAGAATACTGGTAGACAGCCTGGCCTCCTTCGACCACCAAGTCCCCTGAACCGAGAGGATAAGACAAAGAAAGATAATTCTAGAAAATACAAGTTGGCTCTAGATAAAACTTGGGAGTCACATGAGGGATGAGTGAAGGTGTTAGCAGGTCAGTAAAAGAGGAGAGGGTGCAGTTTGGGGAGCATTTGCGTTTGAGGTTGGACATATAGGTGGGGAGTAAGCTGTGAAAAGTCTTGAAGGCAAATTATACTATTGTGAATTTTATTCTCAGGTTCAGTAAAAGTGAAAGCCATTGAAGAAAGTGGCAAAAAAGACCATCCATCAGGTGGTTGAGAGATAAATATGTTTTACAGCAGCATTTGCGATAAATTGTGAGGGGAGCTTTATATTAGGCTATTGTAGGCCAAGATAAGTATTTATGAGAAACATTAGGATGTTCTGGAGGTAAGAAAGGGATGAAAAGGTTTTAGAGGTTTGCTAGTATTGGGTAAATTGTACACCATCCTAATACAATAAGTCCCAACAAAGCCATTGGTTGAGGCAATGGTCCTTATATCCAATCCTTTCAAAGACAGAACCGCTTTATGAAATAAACTGTAAATATGCCAGCATATAACATTTAACCAAAACTTTCATCTGGTATGTTGTGAAAGAATGAAAGTGCTATTTCACAAAGTGAATTTGAAAAGGATGCTGGATGGACCATGAACCTCGTGTTACATATTTTACTGCACTCTTGGTCAATACGGCTCCATTAACATCAGGTGTATTTTCTTCTGCTAATCTAAATCATTTCCACAGCTCGGGCTCAAACCTGTCAGCATTTCCATAAAGAATAAACAGTGAGAAGACCTGATGTCAGGAAAATAGCTGTATATAAGAGAATGATGGAACACTAATTATTCTGCAGTAGCTATAATAGATCCACTCTCAGACTAGAGCAAATGTTGTTTCCAGCAAACTGCTATGCAGTTAAAAGATTATTCTGCTCACTAAAATCAGTTTGGAAAAACAGTATTTATATCTAGCCACCAGCATTTATATTTTACCTAAAAAAAATTATCAGTTTTATTACTACGACTCTTCCTGTATGCTGTATAAATAATCCTGTCTTTCCTAAAGTCATATCCTCTAATCAGACACTGTTCAATGCTTGAGTTCCCTCACATTTCAATGGAAGTGTTCCTTACATCTGCTGACCTCAAAAACAACCCACGGTAGATTTTATATGCAGTTGATAAGATTGTAGATTTTGGTAACCATCATTGTATATGCATAGTAAAGGTTTAAGTTTAATACAATGCAGTTACCTTTAGGGTCCAATCACAGCAACATGCATTGTGACACACATGCATCAATGTAAACAAGCCCATATAGTTTCTCTTTAAAAACACCCTAAACTGCAGCACATAAATGTGACCTTGCTACATAGATATAATGCATGTTCATTTGGTGAAATCTATCTCTGCAGGGAAACAGAATAATCTCAGTGGCTTAGTGGGTAGCAATCCTGCCTTGAAGCACTGGGGTCCATGGTTTAAATCCCAACCAGGACACTACCTGTATGGAGTTTGCATGTTCTCACTTTGCTTGTCTGGATCTCCTCCCACATTCCATAGACACGCTGGTGTCGCCACGCCAGGGACAGACCTTTGTAGCTTGTAGACAAGGGGAGCTGAAAAATCAATGTGAGCCAAAGATGGGTGCAGTCTAAAAGAGTCTTGACTGAATGTCGCTGTGACGGGCTATACTACTGAATGTTTTGGAAGTTTCAAATCAGTGTTTATCTAGTTTGTTTTAGGGCTTGTTCACACCATATACAGTGCGTTCCGTCACACACTGTATGTATTGCATGCCGGCCGGCTCCCTGCGTTCACGGGAGGTGCATTGAAGTTAATTGCACAGCAGCCACGCCCCCCACCCGCAGTGTGATCGCCCACAGCAGAAAGCCTGGCACATCAATGCCTGTGTTCCGGGCCAGTGCAAACCTGAAAAATGCTGCATGCACTATTTTTTCAATCGCACTGGTCCTGAACGCAGGCATCGCTGTGCCATGCGTTCTGGTAAGAGCGATCGCACTGCAGGTGGGGGTGTGTGGCTGTGGTACCATTGACTTCAATGCACTGCCATGCTCGCTCCCGCACCTGAACACATAAAGCCCGCTGGGATGCAATACAGTGCATTCCAGCAGCTGACCGCACCGGAATGCACTGTATATGTGTGAAGTCCTTAGGCAATACCTGGTTAGAAAATATAATATGTGCTGCCAGTGATATCCACCATGTTGTTTCTGACTTATTTTCTCTTTTTTTTTTATTGTGTCCCTTCCTTGTCATCCACCTTACATCTTACCTCACCTCCCATATTCCTTCTTTGCTCACCGCCCCGTTCCTCCTTTCAGCTCACATATCTGCCCTCACCATGGGGTACTTGCCGTTTCTCCGATCTGGGCTCGGACTTTTTCCCAGTATACAGTATCTCAGCTTGTAGGATCGACTGTGAAACCAGATACATTGTAGAGAACTGCAACTGCAAAATGGTGCACATGCCAGGTGAGGCATTACTAGACCTCCACACCTTATTCCTGTACAGAGCCAATGACTGCCTTTTAGATAACAATGCAGTAAGCAGATAATACTGCGCGTCCTTTATTATTTTGTGTTCTGCTTCTTTACCATGAAGAGAACTTCACTTTATATTAAAAGCTGGATTGTGCAAGTTAGAAAAATCATTTTTTCTGGCTCTAGATGTCCGAATTACAATAATTACTTGTATGTGGCCCACAAAAAGCTGAATAGTGATCCAGTCTGTGAATAATGCACAGCACACATTCAGTAAAGAAACACAACTTCCTCAGACCCAGAGTACGTTTTATATTTTTTCTATCTGAAACATCTAATTTTGCCTGCCTGAATCTCCTCCCTGGAAATGTAGATAGTAAGGAGTATGGGTCAAAAGGAAGAATAGATATTGGATTTGGTTTGCTATCCATGTACGCTCCCTGCTGTACAAAACATGAACCTCTTTGCTAGTTGACCCCTTGCTATACACTGTTACCTCCTGGTTTTTTATTCAGCCCCACAAATCCTGAAGAATCTTTTGTTGTTCCAGGAAGTCTGATCTATACATAGGCAGAGAAATGATATTATTGCGTAGTTTAACGTTATCAAGTAATGTCATCCATCTGTGAAATTATTTGAAACTGAGTGCATCCATTTCCCAGTGATTATTAATAATAGCCTCACCTATAGTAACGTTAGAACATTATATGCATATCCCTGTGATCTCTAGGCTGTGTGTCAGGTAATGTTGAGAACAATGCTGACAGAGGTGTGTGCTGTAATACTAAAAGAAAGGCAAGACGGTTGGAGAGGGACACAAGTTTGGTGTTAAGATTACAGGGGCTCTATGATAGTAGCTCGGTACATTTCTAATACACTTTAAGGCTACACTGGAGCCTCCAGGCCAGGCACATTATTTTATTGGTAAACAAAATAACAGATAAAGCAGTATGGGAAGTGTTCCAATGTCATAACTCAATAACTTGCAGTTGATTAGAACTTTCTTTGACATTCTTTGGTACTTTATTGAAATACCACTAGAAACTTCAGCACTAAAAATATAACTCCACATGTTCCGGTTTTATTATTAGCTCAACATTCTGTGGATCTGAGAAATGGAATTAAAAAAAGGTTTCAGCTACATGGTTGAGTATCCCTGCTCTGTGGGGTGGTAGATATCAGTGCAGTAAACCGCATTAGTAAATCAGACATCTAGTTTAGTTTTACAGATTATACCAGGCAAATAAAAGCGATCGGGGTGATATAGATTAGTGGAAACAGCTTTAATGACTGTGTGTGTTATCTTATGCTCTTTCTGATATGTGGTCTTTGTTTACAGGTGATGCCCCTTTCTGTACCCCAGAGCAGTATAAGGAGTGTGCGGAACCAGCACTAAGTGAGTGTAATACCACAGCTATTGTTTGGAGACATGGTTTGGCAGTGTGGGATGTATGTGTCTTGGCAGTGTGGGATGTATGTGTCTTGGCAGTGTGGGATGTATGTGTCTTGGCAGTGTGGGATGTATGTGTCTTGGCAGTGTGGGATGTATGTGTCTTGGCAGTGTGGGATGTGTCTTTAACAGAGATTACAAATGTATTGGTTACACTTTGTAATAGATGGAATAGATAGAAATAGAAATGGAACTTTCCCAAGGTGACAGAAATGGAACTTTCCCAAGGTGACAGCATATTCCAAGGGCCCAAGGTAACAGATAGAAAGGGAACCTACAAGGACCAAAACCTCTTGGTGGAAGAACATGTTTTGTACCTATCATTTGTCACTTGTTGAGCCCTCAAATAAAGCCTGCACCCCCATGATGAGCCTCAGTTTATTATTTAATTACTTTTTATCAAAACTGGTTGCCATGCACATCTGCTCGAGTTTTGATAAATTCCCCTAGAAATTTCTCTCGCAGTCGTGTGTCCCCATCAGTGGTGTTCAGGGCCGGGGGCTGGATAGATTTGGCTGTAGATTTTATCCAGGGAGCAGTGACATAACTAGTGTTTTTCATGAGATCAGTTTAGAGGTGCCTGTGTCAAACATCCAAACTGTTTTTCATGAGATCACTGACTGTGTTTTGCAGAATGATATCACTGACTGATCTCATGAAAAACAGTTTGTGTTTTGCAGAATGATAATTACTACACACAACAGATCTGAGTATTTCCTAATTATTATTGGAAGGAAAGAAATACCCATGAGAAGTATCAATGTACCGAATCAGCAACTGACCGAAGTCAGCAAAATATAGCCTGCTATTTGCTATTGCAATTTGAAATGGCCAAATAGCAGGCTGGCTATTGCACCAGCCCACTTGCTGCTGTATTTACATTCAGCTGCCGTCTGCGGAATCTTGCCACTGGCAGCTACCATTCCTCGGCTGAAGTGATTTTTTGCCCACCTTTTATATTTTTTGAATAGTCATTTTTGGTTTTGGCCTGACAAATCCGCCTCCCACCCAGAGTGTGATTGTCCGCACTGGAATGCATGGTACCACAATGCCGTGCGTTCCAGTGTAAATGCAAAAAGTTGTGCATGCAGTTTTATTCTGAAGTAAACTGTTTGCATTTGTGTTTTTATTCTACTTTGTAACTCAGTATCATCCTTATTTTAAATTGATTTTTCTTTTTATCCGATCAATTGAAAAAATATTTGGCCAAGTATGCGATTATGAAAATAATGATTAGTTGCAGCTCTAGTTACCTTGTTGTTATGTGGTGACTATTATATGCAGAATTGTTGATCTTAGCTAATGCACACAGAGAAGAACAATACTCACACCTCCTCTAAGAACAGCAAATCTCTGTTTTTAGTCTGCACGGAACACTGATTTAATCACATTGTTTAGCATTGTTAATACCCAGAACTCACAAGAAACCTGATTATGTGCGTCTACTCATTAACACATCTTGCTATCATTCATTTCAGCTGTTTATGCAAATTGGACCACATTTTTTTGATGTTTATTATTTTGAAACATCTCTTTAATAGAGTGTAATTGTTTTTGTCTCAAATCACCATTTTTTCCTCATTTTACCATTTTAATTATTTGCTTGTTTCTTCCTCACTGCATCTGAGAGTCTAATTATAGCCGATCATTCAATAAATTGTGAAATATCCATCCTGTATTATCTCCTAATCTACAGATCCCTTAGTCTGGGCTGGGAGAAGTAACATCATTTACACATACCATCATCACTGGGCCTCTTACTAATATTTACTAAATTAATCTGATGACAGCAAAAACGCAGTTTACTTTATTAACCTGTCATCATCATATGCAATTCATTACCTAGATGTAATGCCTATTAGAAGAATAAAACAAACTCTCTTGGTCCCCATCTTGGAGTTTTCCGCTTTTGAGAAGAATTCTTTTTCTAACTCATAGAAAATAAAAGCTTCATATTGGTGACCATGGTTCAGTTCTCCACTTTGTGGGGACCTAAGGGTTTGCCAGCTACATACAAATGAGTTACCAGGTCAATGACAGTGAGAGGGGTGAGTCAAATGATTACTTGTACCTCGCCACCCCTGAAAGCATGTGTAAATACCAAGTCAACACTGTGGGGTGTCTGCTGTAGAGTTCCCCATTAGTTGACGTTTCTGTAAGATCACTTTAGCTTTCACCTACTACAAGTAGGAATTCCACACCCCTGCTATGTTTTATCTATCGCCCGACGCCCGTGACAGGCAGTTTGGGGCGCCGGGCGAGTAGTTTTTTAATACATTCAGCCCTGCTCCGGACAATGAATGTACAGTGGGAGCCGCCGCTCTTTTTCATACAAGTGATCTAATCCAATCACTTGTATGAAGCGAGAATCGGCGATCCTGTCCGCCCCCGCCGTGGTTTTCGGGTGTCCCCCGATCCTCTGGTGGACCTGTCACCATGGCACGGGAGCTCACCATAGAGCCCGCAGAGCAGACGAAGAACTTCCTTTCTTCGTCTGCTCTGTGCTATCACTGAGACAGGGTGCGCTGTGATCACAGCGCCACCTGTCTCGGCTGTCAGGAACTGCACAGAACATCAGTTCAGTTTGGAGGTGACAGGTTCTCTTTATGGAACCTGCCCTCCAACACAATCACATTGTTCCATTTTATTCCCATCACATGGTGTCTAACATTTTTTTAAAAGTTATAAAAAAGTAAAATATAATAAAATATATAAAAATTTAAAAAAATAAGTGACAAAGTTAAAAAAAAAAAAATTTAAACCAACTCTGCTGCCCCTGCCATCTGCATACAAATAAATACACGCATAGGAAATTGTGTGTGTGCGTTGAGTACTGCTGCCATTTCACTGTGTGCCATATTGTGGTACCTGGGCAGCAGAACTCTCTCACACACACAATGTGCATTAAAGGGTAAGTTCACTTTCCCAGGTAATACGGGAAAATAGAATTACCCGATCAAATCTTGCCTGATCTCTTCTACCCCCCCAGCTATAAACTTTCTGCAAACAGTCCTTACCCCGTACTGTCAAGCGCATTCCTGCCCTACGCATTTTTAATTTTACTGGCAAATTGCAAGCACTCATTGGTCAGCGTGGTCAAGTGATTGGCCGGGAAGCCAGCTCCTTGCCGATTGGCCGCCAATCAGCATTGAGCCTTCTTCCCGGCCAATCAGGTCATTAATTTGTGAATTGCTGGGAGGCCTGCTCCATGCCAAATTAAGCCGGCCAAACAACATGGAGTCGGCTTCCCTGGAAGTCAGGAAGCCGGGTAGCATCTCATTTCCCGCTGCCTAGCTTCCTGATTGCCCGGGAAGCCTGCTCCATGCCAACGGGTGAGTACTGAAAGCAAAATATTGGTACTCGATACCCAAAAACTGGTATTGGTGCATTCCTAGTTTTTAACTTGTCCCAATACAACAAAAAAAGTTTTACAAGTAGATTGTCATGAAGGACAAGTAGATTTAGATTTGACCCCCGCTTTAGCCCTTGGACAAGTAGTTTTTTCAAAAATTTCCACACCCCTGCATAGTTACGGCATCATCAGTTTGTGTTCTGTCATAACACGGGAGCAATGCTGAGCTTTTTTTTTTTATAGTTGTAATTTAAAGTTGAACTTTAAATGGAAAGAAAATATGTTTTTAAAAGCAACTTGCATATCTTAAGGGAAAAAATATGCAAGTTGCTTTTAAAAACAATTTGTATTCAAGTACCTGAATTTGTCTGCTTGAGAGAGGGAGATTTAACAAGATAACACAATGATGATAGCAGTGCCGGGTTCAATACCTTCTCGGACACGGCTTACATAGCTCAGAATCCATACTCGTAACGAACAATGAGAAACATTTTCCTTTATAATTTCCTTTGCAATGCAGAATTGAAAATATGACACATTTATCGTATGTGGTATGAAGATCATCAACATGCACACAACACTTGTCTGAGGGAAGTTTCCCCACTGAGCTATATATACTTTGTAAGGAGGCTTTTACATTCCATTTCTGTATACAAGGCTCATCCTGTGGCATTTAGAAACAATCTGTTGTCCTGTCTTTGCAGGTTTGCTGACAGAGAAGGATGGAGGGTATTGCATGTGTGCAATGCCCTGTAATGTTACTAGATACAACAAGGAGCTGTCCATGGTGAAAATCCCCAGCAAGACATCTGCCAAGTATTTAGAGAAGAAATTCAACAAGTCGGAGAAGTACATTTCGTACGTAGAGGAGCAAATGTTTGGTTTTTTTTTTTTTAATAAGGGTGTAAAAATAGGACAGTGTGGCTGCTGGCTCCCGGAACAGGGAATGCTGGGTATTGTGTGTCTAGAGCAGTGAACTGTGCCCCTGCATCTGTTCTAATCAATGTAAGATAGAGTTGTGTAGTAGTTGTGTGCTTTCCTGGTCAACTCACCCCTAAATAAATACAGAAGATATTTGTATAAGAATTGAGGGTTAGGACTCCACAAGCTCTGCCAATACTAACACAGGAATTCCAGATTTCAGCTGCCACTTCTCTAGTACAGAGGTGGAAATTAAAATGAACAATCTAACTGCTGCAGGCAACATTTTACTATCTTTGTGTTATTTTGCTTTCTATGACCTTTATGGAAGTTTCAGTTTGCCCAGAGAGACTGATGGTAACAGTGCCCTAACAAACATTTCTTGTTACTGATGGCAACTATAGAGAGTTTAGCTTTTCTTCAGTGCCATATTGGTAATAATGTGTTTTATTGCTACCTGCAACAATGTATTCCTAAATCTGCTTTCAACTCTGGCACCCATCAGCTTTATAAGCCCTGGTTCACAACTAAGCGTTTTTGAGCAGTATGAAAAGCACTTTTATCTGGCCAACACAAGAAATCCCATGATTTTCAATAGACCTGGTTCACACCTGAGCAGAAAAACGTCATGACGCCTGAAAGGATACGGGAGCTTCTTTGTGGAGGAAAAGTGCTTTTAACTGCCCATAGACTTCATTGGAAATGCCCAAAAACTGCAACAGAAGCATGTTGCACATTTTCGTGAACATTTTTCCGCATTTATACGCACGTTCTTTCATTGCCCACAATAGTTTGTATGCGCGTGTTAACGCGTGTACATGAAGACACATGTATTGATTGCCAGCACAATGTGCTTAACGCGCAAATAACCACATGCTGCTAACATGCATATAAACACACAAAAACGTTGCCGCCTAGGTGTGAACCAGGGCTAATGCTTATTCAAGCTAGAAAATGGTTACTGCCCACTGGTGAGGTGCACTTTTGGGAGAATGATGGGTAGTAACCTGAAATTATTTCCCAGGAACTAAAAGTTCCAAAGCTATGTTACTAGTCTTCCGTTCATCAGCGCCAGGGACACTTTGCAAATGGAGTCCTGCAAATGGAGTCCTCCGTAGATACAAGGAGTACTTTTGGGTGGGTGGATCCTCTAAAGAAGAATTTATCTTCATCTGTTTCTATTCTGTTTCTCTTCTGAACAGGGAGAATATTCTCGTCCTGGATGTTTTTTTTGAAGCCTTGAATTATGAAACCATTGAGCAGAAAAAAGCTTACGAGGTGGCTGGGTTGCTTGGTGAGTACTCACTTGCCCCACTTCAAATGATGTTCTGGTAATCAATACGACATTCTTTCATAGCATTTGCTTTGTGATCATGCAATAATGACTAAGTCATTATATGAACGTAGCCACATGTATGTAGAGAGCTTTAGCGTAGGTCAGTAAGAGGATCACTGTGGCAAGCATTGCCATTTGGAAATGCAGCCACGTTCTGTATAATAGAAACTGAAGGGCCTGCTGAGAGCAGGAAATGGGGCTTAGAAGCTTTATCATCTTGGACTCTATATGTGTTGGGAGGATGTTAGCTTGTTTCATTTTAAATATATTCTCTATCACGGACCATGGTTATCGCAGCTTGACATGCCTTTCATCTATATTACTCTACAATACGCAGTACAGCTTCATAAGATTTCATTTAAGCAACTATTTACAAACCAATGAAGTCATAAGGTAGGAAGGAAAATGTCACGGGCTTTAGCCTTCACACTGCATGCAAAGCCACGCGGAGTGAAGTGGTGAGGAACGGACAAGTTGCATGCAGTGTGTGAGCTGAGCGTGACCAGATGAAAGACTGCATCAATGGATTTTGCATCCAGGCGCACAGGTTTAGACACGCAACCGGATTGGCCAAAGATGTCATTTTCACTCCGGCACGTCAGCTTGCAAGATACAAAATGACAAGACACATTGCGCGTGTCTGCACACCACTGCTCCACCCTGCTTCATGTGCAGTTTGTCACAGGCGTAAGTGAAGTAACAAGCACAATTTTGATGACACCACCTAGAAGAGGAAAATATTTTTCCTGCATTTTGGTACTTTCACTTCCACCCCAAGCACCGTGATATACAGTATGTGCAGCAAGGGGGAAAGTGTGTATGTAGTGCAATGACTAAGAGGAGTATTACTCATCTCTATTAATACTCACTTCACCTGTCATTTGCATTGCTTTCTGATTATAGCACTATGGAGGTACTTGTGCTAGCAGAAGCAGACTACCTTTCCTAGAAAGTAATTTTAGAAGGGAGAAGATCTGCTAGTAGTGTTATCATCTTGTCATGCCTAGACATGCTTTGCCCGCTGTTGATCTCAGGAAGACAAACACATGATTATTGTTTGTAGGGTAAGGGCCTGCCGAGGCATTGTCCTATGGACTACAGCAGCATATGCACAGTTAACACCTTCAATTTCTCTTATTGTTTTTGGATGACCTTACTGATCCTTCCCTCTTAGAACTGATAAGTAGCACTATTGACGTCTAAGAAGCAGTATTGCACAGCTCAAAGGTCAGATCCTCACCTGAGTCACACTGATGGTAGATTGGAGGTTCAGCTCCCGTGAGACCTGTACCATATGCATGTTTTAAAGGATAAGTGCATTTTAAAAACTAAATGCATTGATCCTTTAGGCCCCTTTAGGGCTTGTTCACACGACGTCCGTTTTGTGTGCTGACCACCTCCGTACGCTGCTGCAATCAGGAAAACATTGGGATGCATTTGATGTGTTTTGGTAACTTGGTAACAGCAGCCCACTATAGACCAGAGAACACTTTTTTTTAGATTTCTGCTCATTCAGACCTAACCTTGTCATTACTTATCACCTTGTCATCTCATTTATTTTTTTTAGGACAAACAAGGCTTTATTTTGATTAAATTGTCTTGCAAAAATTATGTTTTTATCTACTGAAAATAAAAAAAAATAAAAAACACATTAAATTATGTGATCAGTGCTTATTTAAAAATATTTTATACTGTTAAACTATTTTATGTTATGATGGCAAATGTCCTATTTAAAATGACACTAATTTTAAAGTTAATTGCACATGAAGGGCCCCCCCTCAACATACATAGTTGTGCCCGCTGGGTAATTCACCATCAATTTTGGCCAAACACACAGCAATGTTCTGCTGTTGTAAAAGGTAAAACTGACCAAACAGATCATTTCATCCGATCACAAACTTAAAGCAATTGGAGATGTTGATGGTAGATTTGCCTTGATCACTCACGTTTGTGGTTGCAATTGATTAAGAAATGTTGAAATATTGAGATCTGTAGTCAACATGAGTCACAATGGCACACTTCAGGGGATTTTTGGTTCGGCAAATGTATTCTGGAATTCTACTTTCCATTGCTAATGCAGCAGACACCTAACATCAGGGGGAATTTATCAAAACTGGAGCAGACAAAATCTGGAAGCTGTGCATGGCAACCAATCATCATCTCTTTAGTTTGGTCAGTTAAGATTTGAAGATGAAAGAGAGAAGTTGATTGGTTGCTGTGGACAGCTGCTCCAGATTTTGTCTTCTCCAGTTTTAATAAATTCCCCTTAATTCTACCTTCACTCCCTAAACATTGTGAGATTGTTCATTGTCAGTTGTGTCACTATTGCTTGTATCATGTGACAGTCTAGTCCAATGTATGGCTGCCTTTAACATCCACTGTATGTTTCTTATACTGGTGTGAGGATTAGCTGCAGTGTGTGACATATGGCCTGCTTTATCAACCGCTATCAGTGACACTGTGCCACCTCTTCCCACAGGTGACATTGGGGGTCAAATGGGACTTTTCATAGGTGCCAGTATCCTGACTATCTTGGAGCTATTTGACTACATATATGAGGTGAGTTAGAAAACTACAGGGCAGTAGGAAGTAAAACTTTCTACAAGGGAAAGTATGTGCCCTGCCAAAGCAACATAAGAGGCAGTGGGACTTTGGAGTTGTTGGGGGTTTTTTTTTTCGGTTTCTTCTATATTTCTTGTAGATGTTCCCATATCCACTGTACAGGGTTGTGGAAACCTTTTTCTACTTGTTACACTTACAAACGCCGGGTTTTGTAAGATGTAAAAGAAAAAAAATCAGACCAAGATAAATCACTGAAATCATTAATCTGTACAGTTCAATTAAAAAAACAGATTAAAGGTGGGGAAAACTCTGTCACCTATAAAGAGGGAACAAAATTAAATATGAATGCTAAAATCAAAAGGTGCTTAAACAATGTAGTCTTTTGGGGTAGGAGTCTAGCAGCATGGCACATCTTGCCTTAGACAGATTTGGAGCACTTTTGCAAGGAAGAGTGGGCAAAGATTCCCGAGTGTGAGGGCATCTCCTGTGCACAACCCTCCACAGGTCACCCCACAGATTTTCAAGTCCAGGTTCTGGCTGGGCCATTCCAAAACTTTGGCTTAACCAGAAGATCAATCTTTTGTTGACTTGGGGTATGCTTTGGATGGAGGAAATATGTCTCCATCTTTTTAGCAGAGGCCTGAAGGTTTGGTGCCAAAGTTGACATGAACAGTTCCAAATATCAAAGTCCCTCCACCTTAATTGCTGTGAGTTGTGGTACACAACCAGTACTTGCCAGAAAATTCCTGCAGCTTCTTTAGTGTTGCTGTAGGCCTCTTGGCAGCCTCCCAGACTAGTTTTCTTCTTGCCAACGTCAGTGTTGTGCCTTATTTTCTCCACTTGTTGATGACCGTCTTCACTGTGATACCTTCCAAGGCATGAGATATACCATGGAACAGTCAGGAGAGGGGCACAAAAAGATTTCCAACAATGAGATCCCTTTGATGCGTTGCCGCTCCCATGATCCGCAAAGAGCTTACAACTGAGTAAATAGCATAAAAATCAAACTAAAACTGCTGAACTTTATATGGGCTTAACCAGAGTCACTTTTATTGATGGCAGGTGTGTACTGACTGCTATTAAACATCAGTGTGAATGTGACAGGGATATGATGGTGCTCAGAATTAACCAAATTATAAGGGGTGTGTACACTTATGCAGCCACACTATTTTATTTTTTTTGCCCCAGTAATCTATTTTATTTGGTTTGTTTTTTTAATGAATTGTATAGGTTATAGGTCACGTTAAAGGTGTAAAAAAAACAAACAGATTTCCACAGATAAATCACTTCAGATTATTTTTCCATCTCAAAACCCAGCATTGTGACAGGGATGGGAAGACTTTGTATATCCACTGTATCCTAGTCTAATTGGTTCTGCCTTACTAGTATCCTAGTCTAATTGGTTCTGCCTTACTAAAGGCCTATATTCCAATGTGCAATAATCCATAGCAACTGTTGGACTTAGAGAGTGTCAGAGATTTCCATCTGTACATACCTATATAAAATACACTTACCAGGTACTTGCTTTAGGTTTGCTTGCCAGAAAGTGACACTCACAAGGCATGTCTAATGAAAGCTCAGCTACACACATAAGATATCACTTGCATTGAATATAGTCCCTTTAAGCTGTCCCTTTTAAAAAGAAGAACTATTGGGAGAGTGGCTCTAATATTGAGAAGATTAAAGTTGGACACCGCTTGGCTCTCAGTATAGAACCAGCATGAGTCAGCTGCAATCAGTCACCAAGAGTTGACTGATGGTCTTGGCTACCAGTGGAGTTTGTGTGACCACTGATCAGTCACCACTCCCTGCAGGAATACCCCCCTCCCATCATCTCCAGCGCAGCACAGCTGGATCTGACTCAGTGCAGAGCCGTACCACAGTCAAAAACTCTTCTCAGTCAAGCCTCTCTAGTCAGAAGTCATACTTCCGGGGAGCCAGTCAGCAGGTAGTAGGCTAATAAGTACCCCTGCGCCCATAAAAAGACTGCAGATTGTTATTTTTTTCACTTTTTTCTCACATGTTTCAAATTATCTATTTTCTGAAAGCAGGGGCCATGTAGAACAAATAGATGGTAGCTGCAATTTTGTGTGTGTGTGTGTGTGTGTGCACATATCTGCACATATCATTATTTACTTGACACTAACTTTGATTTTTTTTGACACTAACTTTGATTTTTTTATCAATTTAATCCCCCAATTTTTGCACAAAATAAAATATGTCAAGCCTCAAAACTGGCTGCTGGTAAAGGTTATAATCAATGACATGTTTCCAGTGTGTATAGCTTGCTCCCCCACCCATCAACATACCACAGGTGACATTTTTACACACTTCACTTACATAGGCTTTTGAAAGCAGACCTTGCATGAAAAATAAAAGTGTCTTAGGGGCATGAGTCCCATATAGGGGCATGAGTCCCATTCAGTTCTAAACTAGTAAAACGTTAATGTGTTGTATGGGTTACTGAGCGTAACACCATTGCTTGTTGGTGCTAAATAACAAGTTGTGTGTAATGTGTGTAATGGTCATTGCCTGTTGGTGTGAAATAACAAATAGGAATTTGCCTACACATACATGCATGCACTAATATATAACAGTATTTACATGGACAAAATAGTTTTTTTTTTTTTTTTTTTAATTGCAAATATTTGTTACAGGTATTAAATTATCCCAAAACAAACAAAGCAAACCTAATTGGAGTAAATTATAGATTTAGTCAGGTGTGAAACCTGTATGCTCATTAGAAAACAGTCATTAATTCTTTCACACGTGGCCCTGGCACGTAGACATGAGATTCTCCGGTGTAACTGGCACACTAGCCTTTGCCTGTGTTTGGCTGCCCTGTATCCGATCATGTGATTATACCACCACTGTGGCAGACGTAGATATGCGACAATCCAAAAATCCTAACACTAACTATAATAGAGACTAGGGGATTTGTATGCTATGCTAAAGTGGATGAAGCCGGCTCTCCAATGAGCAGAGTATGTTCGTGATAACAATTTAAACATGATCTAAAGCACGCTGACAAGGTCTACTGTGGTCTAATGGTTTGTTGTGTGAAGGCTGGTAATGTATCTTCAGCTGTTCTCTGCATATAGATAATGGGAATTGAAAATTATCTGAGCCATTTACGAGACACAATGGGCATCATTTGTGTGCACTCTGCTTTTCTTCACTATGCAAATAGGTTCACTGTCTGCAGGTTAGCGCACAAAATAATACCCAATATGCGTGAAATGATAGCAACTGAATGAACACTTAGACTAGAAGATTATAGAAAATCTTTTAAGGGGACCCCCCCACCTATATATATTTCTCTAACCTGCATGGTAAACTAAAGAGCTGAAAATAACCTTCATCAAAAGAAGTGCTAAGAAAGGGCCCGACAAACTGCCTTTTTTAATGAAAACACCACAAAATTGTTTTCAAATATTGAATTGTGCTACATGCTGGAAACTTTTGATGAATATGTAACGAGGTATGAATTCTATTGTACACTTAAAAAAATCTAAGATACAGAAAGTAAATAATTAATGCTGTTTGTAGGATAAAATGTTTTCTGTAGTCAAGTGTAGGGGGAGCCTTACTTGGCATGAGCACAGAGATTTTATGGAGAGACGTCTCTTTGGTTTAATAATACACACATACAAATAGAGTGCTGAAAAAACTTCAAGCTCTAAGCAATGCACACAGTGAATCTGTGTTCCACACACGCTCAGAAAAGCATGGTATATATTTTATTTCCACCAGATGAGCTTATCCCTTGACTTGTCAACTCAGTCAGAGCCGTAACCTAGCAGCATATGGACAAGACTCTTAAACCTATCAAAGGAGAACTATGGGGGCTGCCAATGTTGATCTCATGCAAAAATGCTTGTTGTCTGGCTAGCACACTGGCCACTTGGCTTCATTGTATCACTGACCCAGAACAAGCAGGCAAATCAGGAAAATGTGATTGAGTTACTGAAGGTGGAAGTCTTGAATTGCTTGCATCTTCCAGGTCAAACAAGCTAGAAGCTAAAAAGATCAGTAGCTAGCAATTTTGCTTACTATTGGGTTTTCTTCAACCCTTTTGCTAATAGGGCAGCTTGTGCACACATGTTAAAATGCACACATGTTAAAATGCACACATGTTAAAATGCACATTTAAGGCCTAAAGATGACCTAAACTGGCCAGAATTTGTCCATAGGTAACAGTTTCACTGATATCATGCGGCATCAGTCTTGGGTGCCACTGTTTAAGCTAATGACCTGCCCAGGCTTTTAAGGTGTTAGCAGTGAATTATGGCCCTAGAATTATTGGCATGCGTGGCAAAATGTTCGTTTCCAAAAATAGTTTTAAAAAATGTATGCGCATAAGAATGCAAACATTTGTTGGGTGAGCCTATGTATGAAACCTTTTTCTAGGAACTTTGAGCCGCCCCCCCCAATGTGAAAGTAACACACACTCTCGATACATGGGGGTGGGACCTTTGGTTTAAAGCCTTACATGTTAGTCAGTCATGAATGCAAGGACAGGGTACTGGTCTTTGTAGGAAGAGATAAAAATTGCCAATGTAGCACTAAACTAAGACATTGTAGTTTTAGCCTTCAGGTAAGCAAATGGGTCACAGATTTAGTAACTCAGTGCTGCTGAAAGTGCTAGTGATATATAGGCTAGGTGGAATAAATAAATAATTGCTAAACAAATTGTTCCCTGAGGAGCAGGCTTCAGAATTTGCATGCAGTAGCAAGCAGTCTTGCTTGATTGTACAAAACTTCATTTATGAGCGATTGATTTCTACGAAAAGCGACTGCTTAACACTTCCTGTGTAGCTCTTGCTGACTGTTGTTTAGAATCAGGATCTGGGATGTGGGGGCCCCTACCATGGTCTTGATAAAAAACGGCTAATGCTAAAACATTATTTAAAAGTCTCTCACTCTACGATACTAATCTTCCTGATCTTGTTGGTTTTTAGCTGATCAAGGAGAAGCTGTTGGATCTCCTGGGCAAAGACAACGAGGAAGGAGGACATACAGAGGATCTGGTGAGATAATACTGGAACTGGATATAGATAAATACTGGAGGAATGAATGTTGTATAAAAGATACAAGTCAGGAATATAGAGAGAAGGAAAACAAGGTACAATGGTGATATGTATTCTTGGAAACACTTTTTTTTTATCTCCTTTCCTAAGTGCTGCAGTCCCCAAGATACATGTAATCCTGTCTAACCTTTACCTGACTGTCAGAACAAATTTACTTGTTTTGTAGTCCAGCCGAAGGTTCAGACATTTCCAAAACTTTCCACACTGAAAGTTCATTCAAGGCTATATATTAGACCTTATTTTACTAGTCACATTCTAGATTCAGTCATTCTAAAATTATTGAAAGTGTGTTCGTACTTCACCCAAAAGTTTTGGCTTTGCATACAAGCACAGTCATGTTTTGTTGCTGTCTGTGTCCCCCTGGGGAGATTTATTCTCCATTTGTCCTGTTGACTATTGTCACAAGGAGAGAATCTGATTAGAAAGCCAACATTAGAGTTGTCACCAGAACAGTCTAAGAGAGGAATTGCCCTCACTTGAGGAGATCTCACATCACTTCCTATTCTGGAGGTGAAACAGGGAATCTCAACAACAGGATGCAATTAGACAACAAATAAACAGAGTAGGGAATGTTAAAATTCCATCAATGAAAACTAAAAGATGTGTGGCTGTACATACAATTAGCATTTATGTGGACCCTAACTATATTTCGGTCCACTCTAAGCAATCAGGGACAGTGGGGTACAGAACAGTATTTGATAGCATCTACCTGAGCGGCATTATCAGGGAATCCTAAGGGACAGCATCTACCTGAGCGGCATTATCAGGGAATGGGACACCAGTTACAAGTCATATGGCCTAAACCTAACATTAGGTCTGGCTGAATGATATGAAATTCATGATATTACATACACCAGGGACCCGCTAGTCATCCAGCTGGTGCAGGCACAGACCATTCAGGACACAGGCAATAACAAGTTTTCTATTACCGTGTATGCTAAGTCAGTTCTGCTTGCTACTGTCACGTTATTGCCTAAGTCAGTTCTGCTTGCTACTGTCACCTTATACTTCGCTGTCATCTTGTTACCTCTTTTCCCTTTTCATTCTTTATGCAATGCATTTGTCCTCTCTTCTCTATCTTTTATTTCTGTTTAGAGCGTTTGACGCAGTTACAAAAGAAATGTCAGCAAACTCTGTGCACCATCACAGCTCTGCCCTCCACTGATATCAGACAGAAACAATGTGCCACTGTGCATCGTGTTACTGACCCTTTCTTCTTAAACCATAACAGAGTATTATGTACTGTAAATGTAGAGCAGACTCCCTTCTAAAGAGGAACTGCAAAGTTGTTACTACACAGATACTTGTATGTGATAAGTTTCTTCTGGGCTTATGTGTAATCATAAAATGTAACTGTGTAGTAAGTTTCTTCTGGGCTTATGTGTAATCATAAAATGTAACAATCGTATTTCTTATATAAGATGTATTATAATCAAAGTTAGTGCACCCTCTAAAGTCTACTCTCAAGCTCCTGAAGAATGATCAGCTTAAACATCTGTTTCTTCTCCCTCTAGAGAACCTGTGACAACATGCCAAACCATTCAGAAACCATTAGCCACACTGTGACGGTGCCACTGCAGGCCACACTGGGGACACTGGAGGAAATCGCCTGCTGACGTTTTGAAAGCACTCTTTATTTTGTGCCAAAAGTGTAGCGGACAGCATGGTTGTCAGAGGGAGATGCCCCGGCACACCCTGGGAGAGGGCGTATGGGACTGACATGAAAAGAGATCTGTATACTGCCAACTGTACACAGCCCTGCATGCCTGCATTGTATACAGCACTGATCCTCATATGATGCGTGTGAGGCGACCCCCCACACAGACAAATGCACACCTATTGCTCTCTGTACAGCTCCGTGTGCTATGCGGGTTCAACAAGGGTTTTTTATATATTAAAAATAAAATGATGAAATAAAAATTCATACAATGGCAAAAAGGTATCTTGTATTTTGTGTATGGTGAGAAACTGACAGCATATATTCCAGCTGTCCAGACACTGTTGAGATGATGCCAGTGAAGGCTAAAGTGCTTTTTGTAATCATCAGCTTACAATTAAATAAATTAAGTATATTCTTATGAATATTGCTTACCCTCTTGTTGTTGTCAGTCGCATGCAGACGTGTCAACACAGCAGGGAACTTTATGTGCTGCCACATTTCTGCGTAGGAACAAGCTGTGATCACACTGTTACTGTAAATTTCCAGTCAGGAACAGGTAGGATGGGTCCCCGATCAGGTGAGTGTTGTGACAGTGGATTCAATGTTTAGGACCCCACCTACTGACCTCCAGCATAAAGCACCCCTCAAATGGCCAGTAGGAGTCAAATGGAAAGCAATCCTTCAATTTATGTCAAGACAAAAAAACAAATACTTCAACAAGACAAAAAAACAAATACTTCAACACTAAGCTCTACCAGCTTGCAAAGGGCACCTAAATATAGTCTCTTACATGATTGTGAATAGCTGTGTGTGTGTTTACAGTTTAATACACATGGAAACAAATTTTTCATAAGGGTTTGTGGTCACCACATTTACTTCAACCCATGAAAAGAAACCAGTGGGGGTCGGGGGGGAGAGACAAGGACACTTATCACTCTGGTTGAATCATTAGCATCTTTTAAACTGTTGAAACATTAACTAGTAATCTCATTTCTAGTGCCATTTATTATCCATCTCTAAATGCTTCCTAAGGAGAATTTTCTCTAAATTGTCGCAAGCTTGCTGGGAACTTCCCGGATGACAGCTGAATAGACCTGAAGTGCTTATTTGAGGAAATACCTAAATTATCTTTGCTCTACTTTTACTACTTGCTGACCGGTGTGTTACACCCTTCCTGGCCTGGCCATTTTTCAGTGTTCAGCGCTGCGGTACTTTGACTGACGTTTAGAATTCATTTCAGTACAGCGTTGCATGACGGAATATCATTTTCTGGGACACATAGAGCTTTCTTTTGGTGGCATTTATCACCACTGCAGTTTTTTAGTTTTTTACTATTTACCGCCAATTTTTTGGTAAACTATAAAAGACTGGGTCATGTCGGTTAAATTGACGCCAAACATGTCAAGCCTTAAAATTGCGCACACCCACAGAATCGCATAACACTACCATACCCAAAATTGCCCATAGGAAATGCTTTTACTGCTCATCAGTGATTGATGGCCCTAAAATTATTACTCTCACTCCGTTCGCAGTGATATGCAACATGTGCGGCAAAATGTGCCCAATTGTTGTTTTCGCACATGGGGGTTGGGGTGTCTCTACAGACGCCAGAATGCTTGTATTTCAACAGCCATCACTGACTGGTTTCCTTTTAAGACAGTTTTCGTGCACACCCACCACCATCTAGAAGACTCCCGTCAGGCTGTTTATGAAAGGCTGCTGGACGGAAAGCAGTTAAGAAGTACTCAGGAGGACTTGTAAATGCTGGACGCAAACTGCTGCACATTCTAGAACATTAAAAGACCCCCAGTTACCGCACAGTTAAGAATTAATGCGAAATGTCACATGTTAAAAAAGATGCATGCATACAAGAGATGAAACTTTGCAGTCAGTAAGAAATTGTGACTGGGGGGATTTTTATGAATGTGTTTTTGGTCTTTGTGACAAGATTTTCAGTCGCAGCTTACCAAACTGTCTTTTGATGTGGTGGCTGCAATAGTTTTCTTTCATCAGTTATTTATGCACATGTATTAATGAACCTTATAGCCTTTTTTTTCCCCTGGTGATCCTGCCAGTAACACACTTAGTGTATAGTGAGCCTGTGTTGTCACACTAGGACAGTGTGTCTATAAAGAAGCAGCACTGTTACCCTAGGCTGCTCATCTGAGGGGTGCACAATAAGTACCAAAAGCCAACATGCAGCCCTCTTGCTGTAAGATGGGCACCAGGTATGTCAATGTTTGAAATATACTAGGGGTGTGGAAATTAGCGATTAATCGAGAAATTAATCTTCAAAATAAATTTTAATCGATCAAAAAGTTTCATCGCTAATGAAAACACTCACCTCTCCGCCGGCTTCCAGGAGTCCCGTTGGCGATCCAGTGACATCACAGACATAGACGTCACCAGACTCCTCCCCCTTCCCCAAGTGGCTCCGTCAGCTAACGAAGGGAAGGGGGGAGAGTCCAGTGACATCGATGTCCATGGACTCCTCCCCCTTCGTTAGCCAACGGAGCCACTTAGGCCGGTAAGTTTGCCCAAAAAAACTTTGTGTATAGGCCAATGCCTTGGCTGGCGCTCGTGGAAATACAGCACAGCAATGAAGTAATAACATGCAATGAAGTAATAACATGAACTAGGATCACAGTAATCCAGCACGTTATTATTCTGAGTTGCCCCACTCAAGCGGCGGCCATATTGAGTGGGGCACGTGAGATTAATAACGTGCTGTATTATTGTGATCCTAGTTCATTTTATTATTTCATTGCTGTGCTGTATGTATAGGCCAATGTAGTTGGATCTCTATGTGCGTTTTAATTAAATCGATTCAAAATGTTTTCGATTAATATTTTCGTGTTCCATTAATCATTACCAGCCCTAAAATATACATCACCCACCATGTTCTTGTATATCTAACAGTGCTCCCCAACCTTTTGATCGCCGCGGACCGGGCAACGCTTGATAATTTTACCGTGGCCCGCTGAGGCGGGGGGGGGGACGTTGATTTTTTAAATTATATTTTAGATTGTTTTGATTTAATAATTTTAAACATGCCTTCAAAATAAAATACAGTTACACCAAAAAATGAAAGCATTGGAATTCTTCACCTATTCAACCACCGAAAAACTGGGCGACATTAAGTTAAAATGTGTGACCACGTCACTGGTCACACATTCTAGCATAGTCTCAAACTTTGATAGATCACATGCCTACCTGTAATCATTGAATCAGAGAAATAGATTATAATGGAGATTATAATGGGGAATATTACACTATAATGTTCCCTATTATAATCCACGTCTAATGACATGATGTAAGACACCACCCACCTTCCCCAACTGTGAAGCCCGTCGGCAGTGCGGGGCCCCGGTCCGCACTGAGACTGTGCGGCCCAGTACCATTTGATCCGCGGACCGGGGGTTGGGGAACACTGATGTACAAGAACCCCAGGATGAATAGGCTGCCTTAATGCAACAGGTAAGCATTTTGTTGCAGTATAGTAATGCACATGTATTAATTAACCTTATGGTACGTGTGAATGGGCCTTGAGACTCCATGAGGAAGACAGCTAATAACTGGTGGTGTATCTCCCTGCTGAAAATGCCCAAGTTACCGAAACATTCATCTAGGACTTGGCTGGAAAATTGTTTAGGGAAAAATGGCTGGAAAATTGTTTAGGGAAAAATGGCTGCCTCAAAGGAAATCTCTAGTAACAGAAATATAGGGGCTGCCATTACTGATCGCCTCCTGAAAATTTTAATTTTCCTGACTGCCTTTCCTGTACCTTTACTTATTTCTGACTTTACTGGCTCCACACCTATTCCAGGTCAGTGAGGTAAAATATCCTCAGTTTTACTTTTACTAGCTGTATTCAGTCATGAGAGAATTATTAAGTACCTGCAAATATCTGTACATCAGCTTCCAGGATTCACCTGCACTGCAGACTAAAAGGGTAGCATTTAGAGCCAATAGGGCTGTACAGCACTGCACAGTACTCTCTGCCTATAAATGAATATACAGGAGGGAGGAGGATTCCCTCCTCCCTGCTTTGCTTCTCCAACACTCACTGGAGCTACAGGTCAGGGAGTTGATGGGCATAGTTGGCTCTGGCCGTCAGCCGCATGCAGAGGCAGACAAAGAAGGATCCAGACAGTATTTTCTGAATCCACCCTGTTAGCCGCTTGTGGGCATAAGCTACCTTCTGACTTGGCTCACAGGATTAGATTTACCAATGCTCTCCGGTGAACCAAAAAGAGAAGTAAAACAAAAAAATGTGTGGCTTTACTTCTCACTTTTATCTTTAAAAAGAGAAGACTAGTCAGTCTGTGTTCAAGACACTCCTGCCAGAAATCAGCCAGGTCAAACATAATATGTGAACTGCTTGCCTGCCAAAATATTTGCTATTCTGTTTGAGTTTTGGCGATGTATTCGGCAGTGTGCCTGGAGTTCAGCTTGAAACATATCATTTGGAAAACACAAGTAGCAGACTACTAAAAATACGAACGGTCCTAAATGCCTCTAGTCTCTACAGATTCAGCCATGTTAATTCTGGTCACTACCTACAAATGTCACTGGCTTGTCTGAAAAGATCAAGGGTGCCAATACGAGATTGTTACCATGGTGACACGCACATAGAGAACTTGTGTGACCCCCATAGGCAATACATAAGGGACGGTGTGACATTTTCAGGACAAGCAGTGTTTGCCTTGAGTCACTTTCGTTATAACTTGGATTGTTAAAAGTGTTAAATGTACATATATACTATGATATATATCACATACCATGCATTTATATCACATACCATGCATTTATATCTGCTAAGAGTTTAAACTAGTGGTTTCAATCCTGCAAGAAAATGCAAAACAAAACGTACCTTTCATCACTGCCTATAATAGTAATATCATTGTCATGCTTTCCGGGTTTTGCAAGTGCTTTTTTCCCCCTGTACTTATTGGTTGGAGAACTCTTTTTTCATCATGAAAAAACCTGACGTGTTATTTCTCATTTGCTGTTTCTGCATTTCCTTTGGTTTTAGATGAGTTATGGTAGTTTTTTGGGTGCAATGCC